GCTTTGCCTCACCAGGCTCAGCAGGGCCAGTGCAATGCTCTGCTGGGAATTTAACCCGGGGTGGACACTGGATGCCCACACAAGCCTTCTCTTCAAGTCCAAGGTGATCAGCTTGGGAACTGACACAGGAAAACCTGTCTATGTCCTGTCAAGTCAACCGGCCAAGGAAGAGATCAAATAACAGGGTAGAGTCACCTTCAGAATTATTTACACTGTCCTTTAAACAAGCTCCTTTAAAATGATTTGATTTACACAAGATTTTTCAGAAGCACTGATGTACAGGGAAAGATGACTGGAGGGTCTCAGAGTTACAGATCTGTCCTAGAGGAGGGTCCCAGCCTGGCACTGCCCCCCACTTACTGTGGAGTCTGACATCTCAGCCCAAGCTCACCTGCATCCCTGGCCCTGATTGAGAAGGAGAGGCAAACGATCCCACGTACAAATTCACTGTATTTATTCCACATAAGTTCTACATAGATGCTTTTTAAAGTGACAACTGGGGCTTTGATATTAAATATAATGTATTTTTAAGGCCAGGCACGGTGACTCAGGCCTGCAATCCCAGTACTTTGGGAGGCCAGGGCAGGCAGATCACCTGAGGCCAGGAGTTTGAGACCAGCTTGGCCAACATGGTGAAACCCTGTCTCTACTACAAATATAAAAATTAGCCAGGCGTGGTGGTGGGCGTCTGTAATCCCAGCTACTAGGGAGGCTGAGGCAGGAGAGTTGCTTGAACCTGGGAGGCAGAGGTTGCAGTGAGCCGAGATTGCACCATCGCACTCCAGCCTGGATGACAGAGTGAGACTCTGTCTCAAAATAAATAAAGTAAGTATTTTTAGAATACTCAGTTCTCTATAATTGTCAGTGGTGTATGAGAAGGGAGGAAAGAGGGGTAAAAGGAGAGAGAAATAGATCAGAGAGATGGGCAGAAGTGACTGGGTAGAGAGAGAGCAAGGCTGGGAGAAGGTGAAGACGAGTGTGTGCGCGCACACGTATGAGCGCACATGCACGTACGCACACACGCACGTGCACACACACAGGCGCACGCACACGCACACACGCGCACACAGGCGCACACACAGACGCCCTTAAAAAAAAAAAAAAAAAAAAAAAGAGAAGAGGGCCGGGTGTGGTGGCTCAAGCCTCTAATCCCAGCACTTTGGGAGGCCGAGACGGGCGGATCACGAGGTCAGGAGATCGAGACCATCCTGGCGAACACGGTGAAACCCCGTCTCTACTAAAAAAAAATACAAAAAACTAGCCGGGCGAGGTGGCGGGCGCCTGTAGTCCCAGCTACTCGGGAGGCTGAGGCAGGAGAATGGCGTAAACCCGGGAGGCGGAGCTTGCAGTGAGCTGAGATCTGGCCACTGCACTCCAGCCTGGGCGACAGAGCGAGACTCTGTCTCAAAAAAAAAAAAGTGAAGGTCGGGCATGGTGGCTCACACCAGCAGTTTGGGAGGCTGAGGCAGGAGGATCACTTGAGCCCAGGCGTTCAAGACCATCCTGGGCAACACAGTGAAACCACATCTCTGCAAAAAATACAAGAAATTAGCCGGGCACTGTGGTGCAAGCCTGTGGTCCCAACTACTCAGGAGGCTGAGGTGGAAGGATCGCTTGAGCTCAGGACTTCAAGGTTGCAGTGAGCTACGATCGCACCACTGCACTCCAGCCTGGGCAACTCAGCAAGACCCTGTCTCAAAAAAGAGAAACAAATCAACACACACAGGGAAGGAAGCAAGCCACCCAGGCTGCGGCCCAGAACCAAGAAACAGTTACAGCATTCTATCGCCATCTTGTGGCCATCTTCAATATTGCACACTCAAGGCTTTCAAAGCCCCACTGCTCAGGTAGGTTTCTGTCCATCCTGGGCTTCCAGGCTCTGTGCTGCTTCAGGTCTTCACATCCCAACTACTGGCCTGGACATCCTCCGAGAAAGTGACTTCAGCTCCAACTTCTCGGAGCCAACCAGGCCCCCCATAGCCCCCGGGCCCTTTCCTGGCCATGATCCTGTACACTCCCTTCTCCCTGCTGGCAGCCACAGGGTCCCCAGTTCTCCTGATCCTGCAGCCTGGGCCCCATATGAGCAACTTCTCTCTTGCCCTGCATGGCCCCTGGGACTCCCTGCTTCTTCAGCTCTCCTCTTTGTTTCCCAGTGACCCCCCAAGAAGGGTTGCTGTTGCTGGGCCCTCACCCCCGCGTAACCCTCCCCAGCAGCTGCCCACAGCCCGCCCACTTCAGCACTCCCACGGCCACTGCAGCTGAACTGAGCCTCTCTTCAGGGCCCCCCTCCACCACCCTCTGTCCTATTGGGCGATGTCCAGCGGCTCGCAGCAGCCGCAACCTCTCTTCTGCCAGTGTGAACTCTCCTAGCGCCCAAGCTTCACACCCCTTAACGCTGGACACACGCCCTCGGCTGCTCCAGCCGCCTCCAGTTCTAGCTTTATTTTGCTTTTGCTCTGAAGAGCTCCACGTTACCGTGTTCCACTATCCTCCTTCAGCTCCTGCACCCAGCAGTCTGGGTGGGGGCTGTCCTTTCAAAGGCCACTGAACAGGTCCCAAACAAGGGTCTGTCTGTCTTCTCTGGCTTGCTGACTTGTGCGGGTTGCTCCCCTTGCATGTCCTTCCCTGGCCAAGCTCTCCATCCTAATTCCTCCTGCTGCTGCAACTGGCCCTGTTTCTCTGCTCATCTGCCCCCGTCCCCTGGCCTGGGCCCTGGGGGCAAAAGCTCTTAGCACAGAGCCTGGTGTTCAGAGGTACCCCATAAATGTTGTCTGAATGAATAAAGGAATGAAATAAGGAAGGAACCAGCTTTTCTGTTCTTTCTTTCTTTTTTTTAAATAGGTCTCAGTCTCGCTCTATTGCCCAGGCTGGGGTGTAGTGGTGTGATCATAGCTCACTGCAACCTTGAACTCCTGGTCTCAAGCGATCCTCCAGCATCAGCCTGGCAAAGTGCTGGGATTACAGGCATGCACCACTGCGCCCAGCCAGGAGTCAGCTTTTGATGCTGTTATATGTTCTGTTTTACTGGTTGTGTTTTCTTCACTTTTTTTTTTTTTAAAGTTAGGAGTGCAAGGTTGTGTTTTTTGATTTATTTCTGCTCTTATCTTTGTTTCTAGATTCTTTTTTTTCCTTGTATTCTTTTCCCCCTCCATTAAGAACCTAATTTATATGCTGCAGTTATTTAATTTTTTAAATAACAAAAGTATTTAAAACTATGAAATCCTTCTAAGTACAATTTGGGGCGCCTTAATGTAATGTACAGGATTCATTTTACTTTACTTTTTTGACACAGGGTCTCGCCCAGGCTGGCGTTCAGTGGCGTGAACATGGCTCATTGCAGCCTTGACCTCCCAGGCTCAAGCAGTCCTCCCACCTCAGCCTCTGGAGTAGCTGGAACTACAGGCGAGTGCCAACATGCCCAGCTAATTAAAAAAAAAAAAAGTGTAAAGACAGGGTCTCCGTATGTTGCCCAGGCTGGTCTCGAACTCCTGGACTCAAGTGATCCTTCTGCCTTGGCCTCCCCAAGTGTTGGGATTAAGTGTGAGTCACCACACCTGGCTCCAACAAAATGTTTTAAAAGCTGGTCCTTTGTCTCTGTGTCTGGACATACCCCCACCCTCGCAGGCCAGACAGGGCGGGGACAACCTTGGCAAGGGGCATGTGGGACCCATGGGCTGGCCTGGCTGGGTCTGAGTTGACTGAGGAGCCAGGCGCTTGGAATCTGCAAATAGGAATAGAGTTGGGACTGAAAGTGGAAAATGAGTCACTGGAGATCAGGGTGCACAGGAGGCCACAGTGGTTGAGGTTGAGGGTAGGTGTCAGCAGTAAGAACCCAGGGTCACTGAGTCTCAGCCAGCTGCACACTGGAGTCACCCAGGGGAAGCCAACCCAAGATGACAACAGGTCCGGGGGGCTCGGGCACTGGAATGGTGTTTAAAAGAATCTCCTCTTCCCCCCAGGTGCTCCCTTTTGCAGTTAGGATGGAACACCGCTGCCCACGGCTCACCACAAGATCGGTGGGGGTCTATGGGCTTTTCCTGCCTGGCATCCCACCCAGCTCTTCCTCCTTCCCTGCAATCTCCACCCCTACCCAGCCAGTGCTCCAGTGTGGCCACCCGATCATCTGCATTTTCCTTTAAAAATAATTCTATTTGGGCCCCCCAAAGCAATACATGTTCACTGTAGCACATCCCGAAAACAGAGACAAGCACAAAGGAGAAAACAGACGTTTTCTGTTTTGTTCCCGAACGATTTACAGCGATCTGCGGTGGTTTTCAGCCTCTACAGGTTCCCAAACCTGACTTGGCTCCTGCTTTTCTGTCTTCAGTGTGAGCATCTGTTCCGGCAGGACTGAGTGATTCTTCAGACTCCTCCAGCTTTGTCTCTTTTGTAGCCAAACATTTATTGAGCACTTACTGTATGCTGGGCACTACATGAGGCCACAGGGACCCAAAGGTCTCAGCAAAACCTCGTGGAGCCTTCAGGCCAGTCTAGGAGGAGGAGGAGGCCTGAGACCCTCCAGCAGGTCGTTTTAAAGGCCCTTGTGCGTGGACCCCGTATGACTTTTTTTTCTTCTTTCCTGGAGATTCATGTGTTGGTCTTTGTGATGGCTGAGGTTTGGTTTCAGACAATTTTTCTAGGCTTTCCTGGCATTTAAGGGAGGCTGTGACTGTGTCCTCTGCCACTTTTCCATACTTCGTCCCCCAAAATATCTCAAGAAAAGTAAAGTCACCCTTTCTCCTTTAACCCTTTAGTACATTTGGATGTGCCGTCTCCGCCCAGCGTGATGACGTCGTAACCTGGGATCCTGTCTGCCCCTTTCTTTTTTTTTTTTTTTTTGAGACGGAGTCTCACTCTGTCGCCCAGGCTGCAGTGCAGTGACCGGATCGCAGCTCACTGCAAGCTCCGCCTCCCGGGTTCACGCCATTCTCCTGCCTCAGCCTCCCGAGTAGCTGGGACCACAGGCGCCCGCTACCTCGCCCGGCTAGTTTTTTGTATTTTTTAGTAGAGACGGGGTTTCACCATGTTCGCCAGGATGGTCTCGATCTCCTGACCTCGTGATCCGCCCGTCTCGGCCTCCCAAAGTGCTGGGATTACAGGCTTGAGCCACCGCGCCCGGCCGTGCCCCTTTCTATACTTGGCATGAGGTCGCCTGACTCTCACCCCTCATGGGCACAGGCAGGGCAGTCACAGAGTGGGAGGGACAGTTCTGGATGGAAAGCTGTCTTGGCTGCTCAGCCCCATTCCTGATGCTCTCTTCAGAGCTGTAAGAACTGGGCCAAATGGTGCCCACACCTTCCAAGTCAACCTCAGATGAACTCAGGGTCAAGAGGGGAGCTACCTCCCATGCTAAGCTGAGGGTTCTGTCTCTGGCAACCTGAATCATCCACTCACACAGAGCCCGAGTTAAATTAACCCCGCATTCAGTGAGGGCCGGCCACCTGCGCAGTCTGGTGGGGGCTACAAAAACGCGTGAGACTCGGCCTTCACCCTCAGTCACGGCCCAGACTAGGGAGCAGCACACGCATGTTCAGTGTCGTCAGGGTTTTCAGGGGCTTTGAGAAGAGAGAGGGAAATCCAGGAAGACTTCCTGGAGGAGATGGCAACTGAACTTGGGTTTAAGGGAAGGGAAGAGATAAGGAGAGAAGGACATTCCCTGCTGTGGGACACTGGGCAGGGCATGGCAGAACCCAGGGGCCCCCGGGGGTGCATGGGCGGGGAACCCCAGACAGCGAGCAGCAGATTCAGACTGGGGGGAAAGGAGCACTTTGAGGGTACTGCCTGTCATGTGACTTGAGGAGATCCTGGGTATGCGTGGATGGCAGTCTGGATGCTGGAGCAGGATGGGGGTACGTGGGTGGGCAATGGGAGAAAAGGCAGGAAAGGCCAGTGAGGGCCCCTCTGGGTTCTTGGGCAGCACCAGGGCCAGGCACCCTGGAGAATGAAGGTCACAATGGTCCCGAGATGGGGCTTCTGGAGGCGACTTTCGACAACCGAATGAGGACTGGAAAGTCTGGAGACGAGGGAGTGCATTGTCCCCAGTGGAAGCGCAGGACAGTTTCCCTCAGCTGTGGTACAGGACAGAGGCCCTGGGTCGCCTGTGAGTTATTTCCCCAAGGCCTCTAACCAGGCCATTGTGGTAGGTGAGGGTCCAGAGACCCTCTTCCACTACAAGCTCCACATGCCTAAGCAGGGAGAGGCCGGACTTTTAATTTAACCCGGATCATTTGCCATCAAGAGGGAGATCCTGAGATGTTCTCTTCCTTCCCTCCCTCCTGTGTTCCAGGGAGCTCTGCCCTTGTCCCCACGGCCACAGGGGAGCCACTGTCTGTCCTTTCCTCGATGAGAGGAGGTGCTCCGGGGCACAGCTGAGTTTTCTCCACCTCTGTGCACGGTCTGGCACGCAGGGGCACTCAAAGGAGGCTTGATGCAGAGAGGCAGGGTCTACACATGCATCTCTTTTAACCCAACCGTCCATTTCCATCCTGACGGGATGCGATGCTGCACCCACAGGCTTGTTCAGGGGCAGGGGGGCTCCTGCATCGAAGCCTGGGCCAGGGTAGGTGGCAGGGTTTGAGGCAAGGTGCTCACATGCACTGGTGGCCACCCTCCCTCCACATGGCCCAGGCTCAGGCCCAAGTGATAAGAAATTCGGCCGGGTGCGGTGGCTCAAGCCTGTAATCCCAGCACTTTGGGAGGCCGAGACAGGTGGATCACAAGGTCAGGAGATCGAGACCATCCTGGCTAACATGGTGAAACCCCGTCTCTACTAAAAAATAACAAAAAACTAGCCGGGCGATGTGGCGGACGCCTGTAGTCCCAGCTACTCGGGAGGCTGAGGCAGGAGAATGGCGGGAACCCGGGAGGCGGAGCTTGCAGTGAGCTGAGATCCGGCCACTGCACTCCAGCCTGGGCGACAGAGCAAGACTCCGTCTCAAAAAAAAAAAAAAAAAAAAAAGAAATTCAACGGTGTGGAGAGCACCTGCGTGGGGGCGGCAAGCTGACACACAGGCCCAGGGTTTCAGAAAGCCCCTTAGCTCCCCGAGGCCCAGTGCCCAGAAGGCCCAGCACATCTGCAGCCTCAGAGTGAGCCATGGTCCTCTGCACCCCCAGCCTCCTCTTCACCCTTCCCCAGCTCTGCTGGGTGGTGGGAAGGGGGTCCTGGGCTGAACTGTGGTCCCCACAAATTGATATGTTGAAGCCCTAACCCCCCGTACCTTAGAATGTGACTCTATTTGGAGACAGGGCCTTTAGAGAGGTGATTAAGTGAAATATGAGGTCATCAGGCTGGGCCCTAAGCAATGGCGTTCTTTTCTTTCTTTCTTTTTTCTTTTCTTGTTTTGAGATGGAGTCTCACTCTGTCGCGCAGACTGGAGTGCAATGGCACTATCTCAGCTCACGGCAACCTCTGCCTCCCGGGTTCAAGCGGTTCTCCTGCCTCAACCTCCTGAGTAGCTGGGATTACAGGCATGCGCTACCACCACGCCCAGCTAATTTTTGTATTTTTAGTAGAGACGAGGTTCCACTCTGTTGCTCAGGCTGGTCTCGAACTCCTGACCTCATGATCCGCCCCCCTCGGCCTCCCAAAATGTTGGGATTACAGGCATGAGCCATCACGCCCAGCCGCCATGGTGTTCTTATAAGATGAGCGTGTGCAGAGCCACCAGGAGCACACACAGAGAGAAGACCCTGGCGGCGCAGGGCGGAGGTGGCTACGCACCGCCACAGAGAGGCCTTGGAAGATACCCACCGCCCACATCTGGCTGGTGAGGAGGCACACTGCTGCTCTTTCACTGCGGTGCTTTGTATGTCAGCCTAACGCACCCAGATGAGGGGCACAGGGACAGGAGCAGAGAAAGGGGTCCAGGCCAGGCCCCTGGAAGTCCGTGCTTCTCCACCTTTAGGAAGCTGGAGAGCTGGCGAGCACCCACTTGCCCCCAGAAGAATCAGCTGATGAAAACAGAACCCCCAATCTTCCCAGAATCCAGAGGAACCCACCCTAAGCAGATGGCCCATAAGTGGAGATGCCCACCTTCGGGTAGCAGCGTGTTCTACCCAGAAGGAAGGTGGGGAGCCCCTGTGGGTGCCCTATGAGAGCTTCCGGCCGTGGAGACACAGCCCTGCCATCTCTGTCCGATTAACAGGCGCTGAAGGGGCAAGAGAAGAGCCAGAACGTGCTCTCGCCTGAGGAGAGCACTCTCAGTGTAGTGGAGAGCCCAATAAAGAACTGAATTTCCTTGAAGAGGGTCTGGATGGGACCGGGGTGTTATGCGGGGGTGGTAGCCGAGCCCAGGTGCGGGGAGCCCCATACCTCCAGACGCAGCCGCGCACCTCCACGCGCAGCCCCATGTCTCCGTGCGCAGCCCCATGGCTCCACGCTCAGCCCCATGGCTCCACGTTCAGCCGCGTACCTCCACGTGCAGCCCTACCCCTCCAGGCGCAGCCCTACCCCTCCAGGCGCAGCCCTACCCCTCCAGGCGCAGCCCTACCCTTCCAGGCGCAGCCCTACCCCTCCAGGCGCAGCCCCCCACATCTCCACGCGCAGCCAGCCTCTCTTACCTTCCCGCCTCCCGGCTGGTGCTTCAGGTTCTCGGTGGAGCCGATCTTGGACTTGACGTTCTTCAGGTCTGGCATGGGCACGGGGGCTGTCTGCAGGCGGCTCTTGGCGGAAGACGGCGACTTAGGTGGAGTACGGACCACCGCCACCTTCTTGGGCTCCCGGGCTGGAGGGGTTGGAAGGGACGGGGTGCGGGAGCGGCTGCCGGGAGTGCCCGGGGAGCCGGGGCTGCTGTAGCCACTGCGATCCCCTGATTTTGGAGGTTCACCTGGGGAGGAAGGAAGGGAGTGAAGCCAGGACTCAGGTGGGGGTCAGAAAAGGCCCTGGGGGCTGCCCGTCCCGCAGGTCCATTCCCAGGCTCACCACTGGGTTAGGCAGGTGGAAGCCAGGTTGGAAGCGCAGCTACAGCAGCAGGAGGCGGCCGCCCTGGAGAAGCATCTCCTCCTCCCTGCCTTTTTGCTTAGGGACAGAGACACCCCTTTCCCAGGAAAGCAATGGAAAACCATCAACCACTATACAACACCAGCTCCCAGAGAGGTGGCCAACTCGGCCCCTCGGTCTTTGGGTCAAGAGATGGGCTCCAACAAGCTGTGTGGTCTCAGACAAGTCACTTCTCTCTGAGCTCAGAGGCCTTAATTTGAAAATAGATATAATTATAATCCCTGCAGCCAGGGTGGCTCCAGGAGGTGGTAGATATGCTTTGCCAATCTCTAGTGCAATTATTTAGGGCCTTTATCCTAAATAAGGGTGACACAGTGACGGGACCCAGCTGTGCCCTCAAGCCTAGACGCTTCTGACCCTTTCTCCACAGGGTGAATGTTCAGCTGTTCGGCTAGTTCAGGGCTCCTGCCAGCTCCCTGGCTCCTCTGTGGGATCTGGGCTCCAGAACAGGATGCCTGCTCCATACCTGCTTGTCCCTAACTGTCCACATGAGCCATGCCACTTCATGCTGCTGTGCCCTGCCATACAGTTCCCCACCTGCCATGCATAGCAGTAAGTGCACCTTTCCAACACCCCAGAAGCTGCTGGGGGGTCTCCTCTCCACGCAGATGCTGTCCCTTCCTCCTCTGGGTGTCCTTTACCCCCAAATTTGCTTCTGTTACTGCACTTCCCAGGTCCCTGTTACACTTCAACACTCTGCTATTCTGTCTCATGGGTCCATGTTTTCCGAAGTCTGGCCCACGGAACCCTGCATCAGAATCTCTGGAGCTTTCAAGGAGGAAAGTAGGACTTGTAAAGTGCACATTTCTGGGCCCCACTGAGAGTGGATAGAGCAGAATCTCTAGGGGTGGGGCCTGAAAAGCTCATTTTTCTCAAGCTCCCCAAAGACTGAAGTCTGAGAACTGCAGGCCTCACTCTGTGCCCAGGTGCGCTTTGCTCCCCTGCAGTCTGAGAACTTAGCTTTCCTGCTGGTCTGGAAGCTTCCCACAAGAATGCCCCTGCCGCTGCCCCTGGCATTCGCTGTAACACATACCTGCTGGCCAGAGCTGGAGAAGGGCAGCTCTTTGTTTGAAGCACCCATGTAGCCAATGGGCAGCTTGGTCAGCGACGAATAAGCACTAGTTTTGTTGTTGTTGTTGTTTTGTTTTGTTTTGTTTTGAGATGGAGTCTCGCTCTGTCACCCAGGCTGGAGTGCAGTGGCGTGATCTCGGCTCACTGCAAGCTCCGCCTCCTGGGTTCAAGCGATTCTCCTGCCTCAGCCTCCCGTGGCTGGGAGGAGAATCCTGGGAATCCTGGGATTACAGGAATGCAGTGCCATGCCCGGCTAATTTTTGTATTTTTAGTAGAGACTTTAGTAGAGACTGTATTTTTGTATTTTTAGTAGAGACTTCTTTTTTTTTGAGATGGAGTCTCGCTTTGTTGCCCAGGCTGGAGTGCAGTGGCGCAATCTTGGCTCACTGCAAGCTCCGCCTCCTGGGTTTACACCATTCTCCTGCCTCAGCCTCCCGAGTAGCTGGGACTACAGGCGCCCGCCACTACGCCTGGATAATTTTTTGTATTTTTAGTAGAGACGGGGTTTCACCGTGTTAGCCAGGATGGTCTTGATCTCCTGATCTGCCCGCCTCCGCCTCCCAAACTGCTGGGATTACAGGCGTGAGCCACCACGCCGGGCCAGTAGAGACTTCTTTAGTAGAGGTTTTATCATGTTGGCCAGGCTGGTCTTGAACTCCTGACCTCAGGTGATCCACCTGCCTCAGCCTCCCAAAGTGCTGGGAATACAGGCGTGAGCTACCACGCCCAGCCAGCACCAGTTTTTAGGATTTAAAGAATTCCATGTCTCTTTTTTAAATAATGTTTTTTTTTGTTTGTTTGTTTTGTTTTTTTTTTGAGACAGAGTCTGGCTCTGCCACCCAGGCTGGAGTGCAGTGGCCGGATCTCAGCTCACTGCAAGCTCCGCCTCCCGGGTTTACGCCATTCTCCTGCCTCAGCCTCCCGAGTATCTGGGACTACAGGCGCCCGCCACCTCGCCCGGCTAGTTTTTTGTATTTTTTAGTAGAGACGGGGTTTCACCCTGTTAGCCAGGATGGTCTCGATCTCCTGACCTCGTGATCCACCCGTCTCTGCCTCCCAAAGTGCTGGGATTACAGGCTTGAGCCACCGCGCCCGGCCTAAATAATGTTTTTTATAGAGACGGGGTCTGACTATGTTACGCAGGCTGGTCTTGAACTTCTGGCCTCAAGCAATTCTCCCACCTCAGCCTCCCAAAGTGCCAGGATTATAGACATTAGCCACCGTGCCCTGCTGATTTCCATGTCTTGGATGTTCCTGAAGTAGTCAAGCTTTGTGGCAATAGAACACACGAAGCCTCTTCTTTTCCACATAAGGAAACAACAGATGGGGCCTCGGCCTCCAGGGCCTCCAGGCTCAGCCTCTCTGCCTCCTGAGATCTCCCATCCTCCTGCTTCCCTGACTTCAGAGACCCAGGGTGACCAATGGGCTTGGTGGTGGTGGCTCCAAATCCTTTTCATGCCTCTTACTTGCAGAGAGGTCTTGGGCAAGTCACCTGACCTCCCTAAGCCTATGTCTTCAGCTGAAAAAAACAGGAGACAGCCATGCATGGTGGTTCATGCCTGTAATGCCATTGTCCCTGAAGTCAAGGAGAGCACACAGGATTAGAAAGCCCATCGGACAAACACAGCTGCACAAAATCTGGGGAAGAGAATTCGGACTGCTCCATCTTCAAGCTGCGAACCCTGTGTGAACCCTGCATTGCAGAAAAGGGTCCTGTCGGCTCTAGGAACACAAGCCAGTGAACAGCCACACATGCAAAGGGAGGCTGCTCCCAGTGAAGCAGGCTCCTGAGTACCTCTCTCAGATGTGGGCTCTGCAGGGGGTGGTTTTCTCTGCACTTGCTTGGTCGCTTAAAGAGAAAAATCCACAAAAACCTCATTATCATCAGGTTTAAACGGGGCCTTAATGAGTCCTTCACATGGCAGGCACCCACGGCCGGCCCAGCAGAGGCCCCGTTCTGAAACAAGGTGGAGGAGGCCCAAGGGGGAGGGTCTCTCCACATGCAGGCAGCCACCTAAGAGCAGGTAAGACCCAAAGGGAAATGCATGACCTTGTTTCAGGTTGTTACAAAGTGTGAGTCCCCTGTAATTCCAGCACTTTGGGAGGCCGAGGTGGACGGATCACTTGAGGTCAGGAGTTCGAGACCAGCCTGGTCAACATGGTGAAACCCTGTCTTTACTAAAAATACAAAAATTAGCAGGGCTTGGTGGCCTGTGCTTATAGTCCTAGCTACTCAGGAGGCTGAGGCAGGAGAATTGCTTGAACCTGGGAAGAAGAGGTTGCAGTGAGCCAAGATCATGCCACTGCACTCCAGCCTGGGCGACACAGTGGGCGACACAAAAAAACAACAACAAAAAACAGCGTGTGAGTCAACTGGCCCCATGTTAAGTGAAAAAACAGCAGGATCCAAACCCTACCTAAAATCCTATCAAAATTCTGGGAATTATCCCTGGATCACCACGTATATGAGAAAAACACCAGGCCAGAAAACACGAAGCGAAAAGACAAAAACAACGGGGCTTAGTGAACGGCCATCCTTGGGGCCGTGTGTGTGAAATGCCACGTGTGTGTGAAATGCCACTGCAAAGACAGGCAGCAGGTGACAGGCAGGCTCTGGGCAGCTCCCTCAGGCCAGGGAGAAGTAGAGTCACCAAGATCCAGGCCAGGCTTTGGCCACAGCCTGCAGCAAGAGCCACAGGCTGCCTGCACACTGCCAAGGAGCAAGTGCAGGTCAGACACCCCTACGTGGTGCAGGGTCTAAACCCAATGGTGGAACACTTCACTGGGGCAATGGGAGAGAGAAGTGCTCAGGCAGGCTGTCCCTAATCCCCAAAGAGGATGACTGTTTTCTTCGTTTTTTTGTTTGTTTGTTTGTTTTGAGTCTCACTCTGTCTCACTCTGTTGCCCAGGCTGGAGTGCAGTGGTGCGATCTTGGCTCACTGCAAGCTCCGCCTCCCGGGTTCACGCCATTCTCCTGCCTCAGCCTCCTGAGTAGCTGGGACTACGGGTGCCCACCACCAAGCCTGGCTAATTTTTTGTATTTTTAGTAGACAGGGTTTCACTGAGTTAGCCAGGATGGTCTTGACCTCCTGACCTTGTGATCCGCCCGCCTCGGCCTCCCAAAGTGCTGGGATTACAGGCATGAGCCACTGTGCCCAGCCTGTTTGTTTTGTTTGTTTTCGAGAAAGAGTCTCACACTTTTGTTGCTCAGGCTGGAGTGCAATGGCATGATCTCGGCTCGCTGCAACCTCCGCCTCCCGGGTTCAAGCGATTCTCCTGC